CACATAGCAATGATGGACATCAGATGATCTTGAGGGCTGGCTGAATACTAAACACAAAATTAGGGATGCACCGATGGATCGGCATTTGATCCCAATCGGCCGATAGCGCCCCTATCGGTTTTCTTCGGAGTTTTCAAAATAGATCAAAGCAGACCGATCAGGTAGGGTTGTCACGGTAACCGGTGTAGCAGTAAACCCTGGTAAAAAAGTTGACAATAATAATAAACATCTTGTTTTTACAAAAACTATATTATCTCGGTGGGTTTACCGTGGCTGCGGTGTAGGCGCGGTGACCCTTACCAGCCACCGTATCATCTGCTGAAGTTGCTGGCGGCACATGTGCACTTTGTTGTTTACAACCAAAACTTTCTTGAAGCTAAAGCTGAAATAATGACCAAAGGAGGGGACGGCAGCGCTAAGGAGGACATTTTTTATCCCTCAAAGAAGACAAAGTGGGAAGTACGGGCATCTTTTGGATATTTGAAGAATGCCGAGGGACAGTTGATAGAAGACGACTATCCTGTTTGCAGCACGTGCAGAAAAATTCAATTCAAGTTTATTTATATAGCGCCAAATCACGACAAGAGTCGTCTCAAGGCACTTCACATAATAAACATTCTAATTCACAGTTCATTAAGCCAATCAGAAATAATGTGTCCTTTATAAGGAACCCAGCAAATTGCATCAAGTCACTGACTAGTGTCAGTGACTATACAGCAATCCTCATATAAGCAAAAAGTGTCTGTGAAAGGCAGCAACGCTTCAAATCTCATGACACATCTGCGTGACCATCACCCACAACTCTGCAGTCAACGCAAGGCAAGCTAACGTTAGCGTTTTAGCTAAAATGCGTGATCCGAGGATTTGGGTTGAGGGAGAATGCAACGAGTCGCTATATAAAGCAGCCGCAGCGCCGCTACCTGCATATAAACCGTGTCACGGACACCGCCATGTTGAAATGACGCTATGCATTACGGGGCTCCCAGGGGCAGATAAGAGTTGGTCTCTCTCCGAGAATAATTATGAATTTAACAACGATTACTGCCTGATGACATTTTCCCACATCTGCAAAGCTCACTGGAAGGACACAAACCGAGGACAATATTTTCCTGATATAGGGTTTATTACTCAAGTAATGGTAAAAAAGTATCTGATTAGAAGGCTACTTGAGTACTGAGTATCATCTGAACTAATATTTTTAAATGATGACATCAAACAGCCATAAAATAAGAGGTTATGGGCAAATATTGGTATTTTAAAGGCTAAAGGGGAAAAATGTAAACAAATAAACAACATAATTACAAAATAACACATTTTAGGCTAAATTTAGACACAAACTGAGGACAATATTTCCTGACATACAGGGTTTATTTAGTTGTGTGAAAATGTAGCACGTTTAAAAAAAATACCGCGATAATACCGAAAACCTTGGTAATTTTGGTCACAATAACCGTGAGGTTAAATTTTCACACCGTGACAACCCTAATACGGACCATTTTAGATTAGGTTACATTTCCTTTATTCCCAGATTATGTAGTTTGTAGCACTCATTATAATGTTGTAGAAAATTTCTGGCCAATCCACGTGATCGGTATCGGTGATCGGCATTCTTTGATATCTGTATTGGTGATCGGCATTCTTTGATATCTGTATTGGTGATCGGCAGCAAAAAACCTGATCGGTGCATCCCTAGTAACAAGTGAATTTGTGGGATGAATAAACTCTATTCTATTCTAAAACAAAGTTATGTCTGGGTGAAAATGATTTCACATGTATGGATCAGCGATTTTATGTAAAATGTCAAAAACCTGACGTATGAAACCTGCGGTGGCCTCTCGTATGATGATAAATCTCACCTGTGCATACCCAGGAGCTCGTGTCCGTTCTCAGTCGTTTATATACAGGAACTCCCTCAATTACCCATATTTGGTCACGCTATGTCCTGAGCTCGTGAGGGATTCCCTGCTTTCTACCCAGAGAGAAAAAAAACCTCTGTTGCAAGACTGAGACACTGGCCGCCAAAGTGCAGAGGTTACGAACGCAGTCGGGACAGAGGAGAGGTTCCTGTCGGGAATAAATAAAAACTTTCATCTGATAAATCACAGAGTAACGGGTTTTCATTTACCTTTAAGGAGTCGTTCTGGATGGAGTTAGTTTTATTTGGACATGTTGTCTGAGAGTGCAGCCTCTTAGCTTAGATGTTTTTTATCGCATCAGGTTTAAGGTCCTCATGTTTGTGTTCAAGGCGTTAAACACAGGGGCTCCGAAATATCTTTCCGATGTCATCCACCAGCATGTCCCGGTGCGTTCCCTTAGGTCAGCTGACCAGAGATTACTAACTGTGCCTAGGTACAGCCTGAAGTCTCGTGGTAGTCGAGCTTTTTCAGTACTTGGACCAAGTCTCTGGAATGAGCTGCCAGCCGATGTAAAACAGGCCAAGTCATTAGAAACCTTTAAAGGAAGACTGAAAACACATCTGTTCTCGCTGGCTTTTGGACGTTGAAGTTGGGGGAAGTAGGCCGGATATGGACTGTGAACTGGCACTCAGGTTTTTGTACTGTATTTTAAAATGGATTTCTTATTGTATTTTTATAGGATTTATTACGGTATTTTACAGGGATTTTTTAGTGTATTTTAATGGATTTATTAATGTATTTTAATGGTCATATCTCTGTCCTATTGTGTGGCATTTTATTGATGTACAGCGCTTTGTTTGTCCATTCTGGCCTTGTGAAAGCGCTCTATAAATAAAGTTGATTTGATTTGATTTAGCTGTCATTCACTCTGGTTACCATGGCAACCGGTCAAGTTTGAGTCGACTAAACCTAAGACTAAGATTAAAACTAAAAGCCTGCCAAAACCAACACTGCATCAGCATTAGCAAGCCCACCACACAGCAAAACTCCTTCAGCCTTGTGTAATTTGTAGTAGGGTTGTCACGATACTAAAGTTTCAAACTCGATTTCGATACTATTTAAAAACACCAATTTATTGAACAAGTATATTAAAAAAATAACATTCCTCAATTTATATTGCAAAAATTAAATGTTAAGAATTAAGTGTGTAAAGTGCTTAAACATTTCAAGTATCAGCATTTTTTAAAGCGTGCATACAAAAACTGGCAAAAGTTAACACTTTAAATCATGAATTGTCTCACTATATAGACACTATTTGCAGAGTGATGTTCTGCTGCTTAAACTCTGTTTAAGGTGCATTTTTGTCATAAGATGTAATGCCAAATGTTTTGTTCTGTACTTTTGAACAACTCTGTTGGTCAATAAAGGGAGAAAACACATTTCTCCACAGTAGGACAAAGGTACATCTACCGGTAATCTTAATAAAAACAGATTGGCGCACGGCAGTGACGTCATTTAAAGCGCTGGTTAGATTAGCCGCGGCCAGTCTGTTCACGCCTAGAAATCCCAGACTAGCTCCAAACGAACAGGGGAATCATGTTAATGATTCCTAACAAAACCTTTCGACATTGAGATGTTTTGGTGCAGATAATGTCTTATTTCGAGGCTGCACCATGGGTTCCCGTCCGCACCCGTTATATGGATGTACACTGATGGCGATTCGCCGATGGATCTAAATACCCCGGGGAATCCAAGTAGCACCAAAGTTGTCAGTGTGAGTAAAAAAACGTACTGCATGCTAGAAATTAAGTCCGGGTTGCAATAAACGGGAGTTTCCTTTAAGCACATAAGCGTGAATATACAACTACGTGTCGGACTTGGTATGCTAATGAAGTTGGGCTGTGAAGCGCCTCCCAAATTCGCTGTTTACGTTTTTGTTTACTTGGCAGACAAAACTTGGATCGAAGACAACTCGCGTGGGAAATTGCTATGTAGCCATGCGGCGTCTTCTTCTTCTGTTTGTCCGGGAGGCGGAGGCTGCATCTGGCTGTCGTGCGTGTCGGTGTACTTGAAGAAGGCTGTGTATAATAGTCCATAATATCAATACCACAGGGATGGAATATCTAATTTAGATACCTAGATATAAATCGATACTAAAAGTCGTATCGATTTTTTTGACAACACTAATTTGTAGAGATCAAACATCAACGTTGCAGAGCAGACAAGAGTCTGTGGTAGAGTCGCATTTCTGTTAGCCAATCAGAGGCAAGATGTCAAAATACCAGGAAATAAGAATCCTGTTGTGTGAATCTCTTCCTGATCTAGATCCTGAAACAGCATCAGGGATTTTGTACCCAGAGGACAAGGCATTCATTCCTACTAGAGACCACAGCACACGCAACACCGTTAAAGGAAAACCACGCTCATCAGCTAAGTTTCACTTAACCAAGTTCAGTTAGTAAATACAGATTTCCAAAAGAACACATGGTCTATAACTTAGTGAACACATTATTGCAACGTTTTAAAATATGACTTCTAACTTCACGCGGACTAGAGGATAATAACTTGAGACTGGCAAAACAATGACTTGGTGCTACTTCTTCCAACCACTGACGAGAAAATGGGATGTAATATGTGTCACATGCCTCGTCCAATCATATTGACCAATCTTCAACCAGCCTTGCTGCTAGCATGCCATGGAGCAGGTCTGTCCTCCAGTATGTGTTACCATGGTGACTGAGAGGGGCTTCGGGTTAGCCACGTTTATGGAAACAGAATTGGAGAAATTTAGCTGAGATTTTCAAATAGAGCCTGGCTTTTGGAATTACACGGCTTTGTGGAACAGCCTTCAGGAAACCAGACCGAGGATTACAGGTGAAGCAGTGGTCACCTCCAGGTGGGTCTGCAGAAGGCCCTTCAGCTGAGGTTCACAGCTGCTCTAGTACCAGTTAGCTCCTCTAGCTCCACCAGCACCGTGTTCGCTTCAGACCAGGCCCAAGAATACCGCCAAGAATCAACAGCAGACTGGACCGGTTCTACACTTCAACTGACCTGTGTGTGTGTGTGTGTGTGCGCGTGCGTGCGTGCGTCCACCAAAACCAGAACATTCAGCACACTGGGGCATGAGAGCAGGGACATACTTACCATAAGCAAACAGGCCGGGCAGCTGGTGGACCGGTCTGCCAAAGAGGTTCCGACCCAAGGTAGGGGGCAGCGGCTCATGTCCCACCTGATAACACACACACACACACACACACACACACACACACACACACACACACTGTTAGTTTGTGGATTAACCAGGGGTATTCCAGAAAGCGAGTTTAGACCATCGGGGACCTCCTGATAAATCCCTGCTTGACAAAGCGCTCCCCTCCAGGTTTTGCCGGCTCCGATCCTCTATCAGGAATCGAGGCTCACGCGCGTCCACAGGCAGACCCCATTAATCGATGCTAGATAAATGAGAATGGAAGTAAAGGACAGACCCTCCTTCTTCATCCAGACGGAGCAATAGTTATTCATTCATGTCCACGAGGATTACAGAGATATCAGAACTAAGATAGAGACCATGAGCTGTTTGATTAAATCTGTGTAGCCGGCGCTGTTCAGTTAGAACACGCAGTTTACATGTTTCCATGGCAACACCGGAAGTCCGCTTCAGCTCTTGTCTCTCCACTTATTTTATCCAACTTTCATCATTTATATGTCGTTTTCATGTTCTGCTCCAGAGTCTGGATGTTTAGAGACTGGAGGACTTTGTGTTTGCTGAGCAGCTGTGAGTTTTAAGATTAGACGTTCGTGGTGGTCACATGACCCTAAAATTAACGCTGGAAACCGTTTAGTACACATATTACACACCCAGGAAAAAACATCACGTATAAATAAATATTAGTCTGACACGTGTGACCAGAGTAAATATATGTCACACCAATAAAGTATTTCCTTGTACATGTGTTGTTAGCAGCTGTAAGTAGTTTAAGGCTATTTAACAAATTTATAAAGAGGACAGCATGTTAATGATATGGGCCCATCCCAGACTAAAGCTGATATATGTTAATCCAATTAGAGCTCATGACTGAACTCCACATTTATTAATTATTTAGCCAACAACAACAAAGCTGCAGCTGCTGCTACCGCTGTGGGCCACCGACTAGAAAAGGGGTGACGTCACTGGCCTCATCCAATCACAAAGCGTCTGAAGCCTAGCTTCTAGCCTCCCACGGACCAGGTGTGTTCTCCATCATGTGTTACCATGGTGACTGGGAGGATTTCAGTCTAGCCACGTTCTGAGAACCGATTTAGGGGCGGTTACACCAGAAATCTCACAAGAAAAACCTGGTTTTGGGAAAATTTCGCTCTCTGGAATACTCCCACGTCCCTGTGGCAGGGTGGAGAAACGAGGGCCCGGGCGGGATTCGATCCCCAGACTCCGGGTGAGAGTCATACGCTCTAACCAGTCAGCCAAAGGGACATCCCCTTGGCCAAGTAGCCAGGGCGCATGATCAATCGGGACATTGTGGCAGGATGCTCACACTGTCACATCCCTAACAAACCCGGATGTAGGGCCACTAACGTCATAATAACAGTAAACATTAGTGCAGCTAGCTAGCTACGCTGGAGGCAGCTAATGACCACAGTTAGCAGAATTAGCTATCTCTGGGGGAGCGGGAGCGACTAGTCCGGGAGACCTCTTGGGTCTGGCATCGGATGATTCCGTGTGTCTGCTTTCACAACACCAGCGCAGCTCAGTGAACTTCGGTCCAAACGCCACTTCCGCAAAGCTCGGTGTTTGAACCAGAAGGTCACGGGGACATTATTAACCAGAACCGTCTCACGGTCACCGGCACGTGTGCATTTACAAGTTCAAAATCACAGACCCGACAAGTAACTACTGTAAGGTGTCCGACAACCGGTGTCTACTGGGCAGAGAAAAGTAGACGCTGTTTGACGGTACTTTCCTCTCAGGCCACTAAATCATTAACAGACAGTGGGACCGGGACCGACCCGGTCATCACGGTTCCGCTTGGCTGGTCTCTGCTCTCACCTGGATCAAGACTTTAATGTACATCAGAGGGTGGGAGAGGACGGTAAGCCCCGATCCCAGCAAGACCTGGCCGCACGTGTCCGCCATTTTTGGAGACAGCAGAAACCGGAAATGCGTTTCTTCTTGAAACAGAGACGTGTTGTGAACCGGTACTGCCCTCTATCGTTCATAGGAGTTATTCCCAGGTAAGGTCAAGAAGACCTCCTCGTGTAAAACCCCTGATGTAAACAGAGTCCGCAGAATCGGGTTAAAACTATTTATTACGTTATTATTTCTGGAGAAAAACAACCAGACACAGAAACAAAGAGTGGGGTGTGAGATAGTTTTGTAGAGCATTCTTACAACGTTGCATGAAATGCTCTTAACATTATGACAGCAAACAGTAAATTAGTGCAGTCAGAAAAAGCAATAGTTTCAACCACCTCTGAAACGTGCAACCTTGGAAAACCTAATCCGATATTGGAATGGGCGATATGGCCTAAAATCCATATCGCCACATAGTTTGAAGCAGGTGCGATAACGATCTATATCACAATATATTCTCGTCTTCTGTTTACTTATGTCAAATTAAATGAAAATAGCAGAAGAATTTGAGCAGAACAAATAACTAACAAGTATGAAATGCTATTTTAATAACATTTAAAATTCAAAACTTTTGAGCTCCACTGGCTACCGCTAGCAGCACGCATCAAATTCAAATTGCTAACACTAGCATACAAAGTCCGAGATGGTACGGCTCCCATCTACCTGAATCCTCTTGCAAAGGCGTACGTCTCTGCCCGGCCGCTCCGGTCATCACAGGATCGTCGGCTAGCAGTGCCTACCACGCTCAGGACAATCCAGACTCTCCTCATGCATCGTTCCACAAATGTGGAATGACCTTCCAAGCACTACCAGAACAGGAGCTTCCTTTTCAATCTTCAAGAAACTCCTGAAGACCCTGCTCTTCAGAGAGCATCTTCTAAACTAGCACCCTCCCTGCACCCGTCCCCCTCTCTACCATCCACTCCTTATTCCCTCCTCTCCATGATCGATGTCAAGTTGTTGTTGTTATTGTTGTTGTTAGCCTCAAGGGCAACATGGCGATTATCACTTGTAAGTCGCTTTGGACAAAAACGTCTGCTAAATACATAAACATACACATAAACAAATCATTTGTAGAAACTAAGACTCAGCCAGGCCTGGCAGAGTTTTTTTCTTACACTGTTGTCCGCAGAGGTGGAAAGAGTACTAAAATGTTGTACTTAAGTACAAGTATAATTACTTTCATGAAATTTTACTCAAGTACAAGTAAAATTACCTACCTCATAATGTACTCAAGTAAAAGTAAAAAGTAGCTTATTTCAAATGTAGTCAGAGTAAAAGTTACTTAGTTACTTTTTTGACTGCAAGGACGGGCTCTTCTGAATAGTTAAAAAAAAGACAATGGGGTATAAATGTCAAAGTGGCCATTTTTTTATTAAATGAACAAATATGCATATTGAAGTACAAAGGCAGTTACACTGCAAACTAGTAACATAAATTAGGTTATAGTCACAAGCCTTAGTAAGTATTCTATTTGGTGAGAGCTAAACTTTATTGTATTTGCTAGTGGATCTATAATTAAATGGGTAAACTAGTAGTAGCACATTCAATGTCAAAATGAGTAAAAAGTTATTATCAGGAGAGGGAGAATGTTTAAGTGGTTAGCAGCAGTGTGCTAGACGATGGCCCCCTCCATGAGGCCACCACAGCTCAGCAGAACATCATTGTAGCTTCTTCTGGGGAGAAAAACACTTAGAGAAAAAATAAAGTTAACAGCTGAAATTGCAGAAAATAGTACAGTTAAAGAGCAGATAGTAGAAGAAAGTAGTAGAGTGTGAGAAGTGGTCAGTGTATCCTCCAGCAGTCTTATGGGCTCGACACACGGGAGACGACATCGCCTCTCCTCCATTCATTTTCAATGAGACATGCGCGACAAAGCGATAATCGCGGGTCTCTCTCCTACCAAGCGAAACGCAAAAAACGTGCGTGTGAAAGTTTGCACTCGTGCACGTGTCGTGCACGAACGACCCAGTGACGCGATCCCAGAAAGTTGAAACATTTTCAACTTTTCATCGCTGTCGCTCGGGCGAGGACCAATCAGCGGAGGTTTCATTCACTGACCAATGAGCGGACATAATGCTCCGCACATCTCCGAGCAAACATGAAGGAGAAGTTGATTATTATTATGTTTTATATAGTAAAATCTGAAGTAAGATTTCACATAACTCTAGCAGCACCTTGTGAAACATCATATCTACCACTTTATTAACTCTGAACCGCTTAAATAACCTTAATTCCCTCCAACCTGACACAGCCAAACAAAACAACGGAAGTTTCGATTTCGCCATGGAACAGAACGCGTAGACGGCTTTGCCGCTGGCCGCTACCGCAGATCGCCTCCCGTGTGACAGGTAATAAAAGCGACAGCGACAAATTTCGCTGATCGCGGTCGTTTGTCGCCTCCCGTGTGTCGAGCCCATAAGCCTATAGCAGCATAACTTCAGAGATAACTCTGGATAATCTATCCTATTTAGATGGAGGCATGTTGGAGGCAGGGCAAGGGAGAGCCGTCTTTACAGACTGTACACTTCACCTCCCTCTACTCCCCCACTTGTCCAGATCTAGGCTAACATCAGATTTTAACCATAAGCCCTATCAAATAAAAATGTTTTAAGCCTATTCTTAAAAGTAGACAAAGTGTCTGCCTCACGGACTAAGGCTGGGAGCTGGTTACACAGGAGAGGAGCCTGATAACTAAAAGATCTGCCTCCCATCCTATTTTTAGATATTCTGGGAACCACCAGTAAACCTGCAGTCTGAGAGCGAAGTGCTCGGTTAGGAACGTATGGAACAATCAGATCACTGATGTATGATGGGGCTTCATTATTAAGAGCTTTATATGTGAGAAGAAGGATCTTAAAATCTATTCAGAATTTAACAGGCAGCCAATGTAGGGAAGCTAAGACAGGAGAGATATGATCTCTCTTTTTAATTCTCATCAGAACTCTAGCTGCAGCATTTTGAACAAGCTGAAGACTTTAAATTACATTCTGTGGACTTTCTGAGAGTAATGAATTACAGTAATCCAGTCTTGATGTAATAAATGCATGAACTAGTTTTTCAGCATCACTCCTGGAAAGGATGCTTCTAATCTTAGCAAC